AGCCCCGCAAAGCCCCTCTTGCCCCACAACGTAGAAAGCCTAGTTTAATTCAATTATACGTTTCTGCCAGTAATGTTTTTCGCAGTCTAAAAACCGTCTTTTATTATTTCAGCCTGTTCAAATGATAGGTCTCGACTTCCTATAACTTCACGATTCAAAAGAAATTTGAATTTAGTTCCACAGGTTTAACGTTCCCCATCAGTTGGCAACAGTTTATCCATGCAAAGCTCCAGGTGTGTGTTATATTATATACTATATTAAGAAATTAGTGAATAAAATTATTCGAATTCAAAACACAAGGAAATGACACTTACCCTCAGCATCCCTTCAAAAAGCCTCCTACCATATCCTTTTCTTCTGAAAGGCCCTGCCACATAAAAATCCAAAACGCAAGTTGGTTCCACTTCATTACACTCCCCAAAGCTATCAAAAAGAAACAAACTCTTTTTTCCGACTCTTATAAATCCTAAAGGCAGTCCATCACTTGGCGTATAAAAATAATTCGAAAACTTTACCTTTTAGAGTCGCGCAAAAAATATAAGTGGTGGTTACTATGTTGAAATTTATCGTACGTTGTGACGACTTGCGGGAGCCCCTGGGCCTTCAAAGGTTACTAAAAAACTGAACTTAACTAGTGCGGACGCTTGGCCGAGCTTGTTAATTATTTCACGTAAAATGGCCCGTTGCCTCTCTTGATGACTTATAAAGTAAATTTTTGATAAGAACCTACGCAGTAAGCTTTTTTTCATGATTTAAAAGAATGTGACGAGAAGTCAGTTTGGTTAATTCAACAGGAAAAATTTCCGTAATTATATTGCCTTCATTACTTTCACTTGTGCAGAGTTCCATACTCGAAACGAGCGGTCGATTTAAGGGAGGTGTACACAACGGAACTAAAATATCGAGACTCAAGGTTACAGCTGCTGCCGTTTTTGGAAGACTTGTTTAGTCAGCTTCCTGAATAGTTTGTTATTCTTCTCGCAAATATATTCATGTACTTCCCGAGCTTTGAGGAGCATTCCGA